TAAAAAACGCCAAAAATTCAGGTAAAGAGATATCAAAATTATATTTTGATTTCTATTAATTGTAAATAAAATTAAAGTATATTCAATATATAAGTTTTATATTAGTATTAAGACCGATTCATGAAGATCATTCCATGGAGTTTATTGTGCGAGGAATTTGCCAAATATCATAATATCAAGAGACACACGATCTTGATTCGTCCCCAAGTGTACGCCATAGCGCTTCTCGAGCGCGAGCAATGTACTGGCAATGTCTCTTCAGACGAATCAATAAGTTGCGAGCACCCGTAATTATCGATTCTTGATAACAGCTGAAATGATCAAATTCTGGATAGGCGCGATCGATAAATTGTGTAATAAATAATTGTATAATAAAAGTGTTTATATTATTTTTCGTCTATGTGCTCTATAATCAGAGATATTGCGATCTCAGCAAATGTTCAACAATTGTACATAATAGCATATGCTAATTGTACATAAATGCAATGCTGTAACTTGTTTCATGTTACGTGCACAGTGTTATATAATTATAATTATTTGGCACTTTATCTTGTTTTTTGTATTACGTTTACTGTATAGCCTTTATTATAATTTTTTGTGATTATATGTTTTGTATTTATATTTTTATTTGTTTATCAGGAATTTTTTGAACAGAATGAAATATATGAATTAGCTCCATTATCATCAACGAGCATTACATTAAGGAGAACATTATGTGCGGACAAGGCAATTACTCAGGCTGCTTGTATTGCAATATTATTTCTATTTTCGGGATCCGATCCAGCACAATTTAATACAGTACGTTATATATTTTTAATTTTTTTTAAATTTTGTTTTTAATAATCATACAGGGTATTCTGGAAATCAAGATAAGGAGGTGATTCTTCACATAAAAATAAATTGAAAATGTAAAATAAACCGAAACATCCTACATAACGCTTTTAATTGTTTTTAATATCTTTTATATTTTTTAGTATTTAATTAAAAATATTATTCAAAGGATTACAGAATATTTTTTAATTTTTTTAATTTTTTATCTTAATATGAGAAATTAAAATTATATTTAATAAAGCCATTTGTTATAGACCACATTTCCGGAAATATTGTCACATTTTCCCTACGGCGCTTCTGTGAAAACAATACTTCATTTTTCCCAAAATATTATCACACGTGAGTATTTCGTGTCTTTTTAGAAAGAAATTACAGATATTTATAAATAATGATGGAGATATAGAAATTTTAATTCCTGATCCAATAGATGTTATAATTGCTTTTGTTATATGCGCTTTAAATCTTATAAGCCAACACTTGGAGTTAGATGCATATTTCAGTGTCGATTTTTGAAACGACGCCTGCTATTTTTCCATTGCCTCTTGAAGCTCATTGTTAGTAGTTGAGCCATCGATCATACATGATCTCGTCTCAGAAGTGTTCTCATCTTTGCTAAATAATTTTTAACTGTAACTTTTAACTGTATAAATAATAAATGCTAAATTTTCATTATTAATTATGTATATATATATATATATATATATATATATATTATAATAAATAATA